GCGGGCGGTGCAGGTCAACGCTCGGCAGAACCAGCTTTGGTTGGTGGGCGGGGCCTGTCCCTTCCAAAACCGTTTATACTCTCTTTTTGTTTTAATCCTATTTTCCCATTGATTTTTAGAGAGAGGGAAAGACACAGAAACTTCGATGTGAGAAAAACACATCGACTCGTGGCCTCCTGCACGAGCCCTGACCAGGGACCAGGTGGGGAGGAGCCTGCAGCCGAGCTATCTGCCTCCGACGGGAGTCCAACCCGGGACCCCTCGGTCTGCAGGCCGGCGCTCTATCCACCGAGCCAAACCGGCCAGGGCCGTTTATACTTCTAACACCACTTTGTCCTGGTTCTGCAGGGGCCCTGGCTTCTCCCTGCCCCGCTTTCTGAATGTGGGGACACAGGTGTGCGAAGGGAACGCCAGACCCGGTTTCCAGATGGAGCTTGTTTACAAACCCATTTAACGTAACGTAAACAGTCTGGCTCCATTTGATCTTTGAATGTTGGCAGGTTGAGACCTTCATCAACCCCTCCTCCACCTCCATACCTGTGGCGCTTTAGGGTCCCGGGACCTCCCAAGTGGCCGGTTCTGATGGCAGCGTCACCTAGGGGCAGGACTTCTTCCCGACCAACCATAAGCTGTACATTTTACACTCAAAGGAAATGTTCCTTAGTTTTCGACTGTGTCCTTAGAAATGTTGAAACATAAAATGGCCATAATATCCCTAAAGCAAATGAATTCCTATTTTCACCAATATAACAAAAAGATTTGGAAACGTGAGATGTACCTGAAAACTCAATATACTTAACACATTGGTTCAAATATCTAATTTATTTATTTGAATAGCTTAATATACATACACCTACCAAGGAATGCATACCTTTAATGTATATAATTTAACGGGGTTGTTTTTTAGTATATTCACAGATAATGTGCAATCATCACAATTTTTTAACATTTTTGTTATCTTAAAAAGAAGGGACTAGCCCTGGCTGGTGTTCTCAGTGGTTAGAGCATCAGCCAGGACACTAAAGGGTCTTAGGTTCGATTCCTGATCAAGGAGCAGGTTCCTGGTTTGCAGGTTCTATCCCGGGCAGGTCAAGGTTGGGGCAGGCCTGGGAGGCAACCAATCCATGTGATGTTTTCTTTTCTTTTTTTCTTTTTTTAATATATTTTCATTGGACCTAACCTGTTTGGCTCAGTGGATAGAGCGTTGGCCTGTGGACCGAAAGGTCCCAGGTTCGATTCCGGTCAAGGGCATGTACCTTGGTTGGGGACAACATCCCCAGTAGGGGGTGTGCAGGAGACAGCTGATCAATGTTTCTCTCTCATCGATATTTCTAACTATCCCTCTCCCTTCCTCTCTGTAAAAAAATCAATAAAATATATTTTAAAAAATATATATTTTTTCATTGACTTCAGAGAGGAAGGGAGAGGGAGAGAGAGAAACATCAACGATGAGAATCATTGATCAGCTGCCTCCTGCACGTCCCCCACTGGGGATCGAACCCGCAACCTGGGCATGCGCCCTTGACCGGAATCAAACCCGGGACCCCCCAGTCCATAGGTTGACACTCTGTCCACTGAGTCAAACCAGCCAGGGCTGATGTTTTCTTTCTTGCTCCCTCTTTCTCTCTCCCTCCCTCCCTCCCTTCACTCTAGAAATCAATGGAAAGAATATCCTCAGGTGAGGGTTAACACACAAAAAAAGGGGGCGCTGTGCCCTTTATCAATTCTCCATCTTTCCATTTTCCACCTCCAAGCCGAGGTCTTAGGCAACCTCTAATCTTTTTGTCTTTATAGATTTTCCTGTTCTTGATTTATGTTGTCTTTGTAACTGACTTTAGTAATTTAGCATATTTTTTCAAGGAACATCCATGTAGTAGCATAGTAGCATGTAGAAGTATGAATACTTCATTTCTTTCTTGTGGCCAAATGTCATTCCATTCTATGAACAATGCACATTGTGTTTATTCCTTTATTAATGGGCATTTAGTTTGTTTCGAGCCTTTGGTTATTCTGAATAATGAATGTTGCAATAAACATACATGTACAAGTTTTTGTTTGGATATAGATTTTCATTTTGGGGGGCATATACCTAAGGAGTTAATTGCTTGAATATATGGTAATTCTATGTTTTCTTAATATATATATATATATATATATATAGAGAGAGAGAGAGAGAGAGAGAGAGAGAGAGAGAGAGAGAGAGAGAGAGAGAGACAGCACGGCCATGGCATACTCAGCCCCAGGGCGCCTTATGTGCCATGCCAGCTCAGCCTGGTTCAGTGACCCTGAGTCGGGGGGTGAAAGGATTGAGGAAAGACAGACAAAAGAATGAAAGCTGGGTCTCAGTGGGACGCTGCTCCTTGATGAGGAGACAGCGCCAGCACCCATAAGCTGTGTCTTTATTTTATAGCAGATGCCACGAGGCAAAATAGGGATGTGATCAAGTTGTTTACAGCATTCTCGTGAGTTTCAACCTCACTTAACTACATGCACCCGAACTCTATCACAAGGCACGTGGGGCCACGTGTTTGGACCATAGGTTCAAGCTTACAACCATAGCTGTTGGCTATAATTGTGCTGGGAGGGCCCTGCCCTTCCAGGTGGGACTTGCACATGGCAATGAGAGGACCCTGTCCTTTCATTAGTCCGAGGCTTGAACCTGGCCAAAACACTGTAGCCGCGAGCTGTGTGTGTGTGTGTGTGTGTGTGTGTGTGTGTGTGTGTGTATAAAATTTTGATTTCAGAGAGGAAGGGAGAGAGAGAAACATCAATGATGAGAGAGAATCATTGATTGGCTGCCTACTGCACACCCCCTACTGGGGATCAAGCCCAAAACCTGGGCATGTGCCCAGACTAGGAATCGAGCCATGACCTCCTGGTTCATATGTTGATGCTCAACCACTGAGCCATACTGGCTGGGCTTGATGATAGTCTTGACAAATCAAAGAATTAAAAAATGGGCTGGAAGATGGTGTTCTTGAAGCTTCTATGTACTTATTTGTCCAAATGGTTCTCCAAAATCTGACTAATGCCTTCTTTGTTTTTGACTTCCAAATCTAATACAAGTAAGGCTATTAACAAATTCTAACATGGAATTATAAAGAAAAGGGATTCTGGAAAATCAAGTTCCTAACATTACCCACAAGGGGACTATTTCCAATTCTAGATGTTGTTGCTCTATTATAGGTCCATCCTCTTAATCAAAGTCAATTCACCAAATATCAGTCCGAAGGAAGGACAAAAATCAAAGGCACATATGCACAATCAATATTTGACAAAGGAGGCAAGAGCATACAATGGCGTCAAGACAGTCTCTTGAATAAATGATGTTGGGAAAATTGGACAGATACATGCAAAAAAATGAAACTAGACCACCAACTTACACCATACACAAAAATAAACTCAAAATGGATAAAGGACTTAAACATAAGTCAGGAAACCATAAAATCTTAGAAGAAGCCATAGGCAGCAAAATAGCAGACATATATCGTAGCAATATCTTTACCGATACAGCTCCTAGGGCAATGGAAACTAAGGAAAAAATAAACAAATGAGACTAAATCAAATAAAAAGAAAGCCCACTGCATGGGAGAACATATTTGCCAATGTTATGTCCAATAAGGGCTTAATCTCCAAAACTTACAGAGAACTCATACAACTTAACAAAAGGAAGATAAATAATCCAATAAAAAATCAGCAAAGGACCTAAATAGACATTTTTCGAAAGAGGACATACAGAAGGCCAAGAGACATATAAAAACATGCTCAAAGTCACTAATCATCTGAGAGATGCAAATCAAAACAACAATGAGGTACCATCTCACACCTGTCAGAATGGCTATCATCAACAAATCAACAAAAGACAAGTGCTGGCGAGGATGTGGAGAAAAAGGAACCCTCGTGCACTGCTGGTGGGAATGCACACTGGTGCAGCCACAGTTGAAAACAGTATGGAGTTTCCTTAAAAAATTAAAAATGGAACTCCCATTTGACCCAGTAATCCCATTTCTAGGAACATATCCCAGGAAATCAGAAACACCAATCAGATAGGATATATGCACCCCTATGTTCATAGCAGCACAATTTACCATAGCTAAGATTTGGAAACAGCCTAAGTGCCCATCAGTAGATGAGTGGATTAGAAAACTGTGGTACATCTACACGATGGAATACTATGCCACTGTAAAAAAGAAGGAACTGTTACCATTTGCAACAGCATGGATGGACCTGGAGAGCATTGTGCTAAGCGAAATAAGCCAGTCAGAGAAAGATAAATACCACATGATCTCACTTATCTGTGGAATATAATGAGCAACATAAACTGATAAACAAAAACAGATCCAGAGACAGAGAAGCATCAATCAGACGTCAAACCTCAGAGGGAAGATAGGGGATGGTGGGGGTAAGGGAGAGAGATCAACCAAAGGACTTGTATGCATGCATATAAGCCTAACCAATGGACACAGACACCAGGGGGGTGAGGGCATGAGTGAGGGCTAGGGGAGTAATGGGGGGATAAGGGCACATATGTAATACCTTAATCAATAAAGAAAAAAAACTGTGGTACATGTACACAATGGAATACTACTCTGCTGTAAAAAAAAAAAAAAAAAAAAAGAAGGAATTCTTACCATTTGCAACAGCATGGCAATATCTTTACCAATACAGCTCCTAGGACAATGGAAACTAAGGAGAAAATAAACAAATGAGACTATTTGTTTTGCTGTGCAGAAGTTTTTTATTTTGATGTAGTCTCATTTGTTTATTTTCCCTATGAGGGAAGCCAGGGTGGGGACGAGTGTGGGTTAAGAGATCAACCAGAGGACTTGTATGCATGCATATGAGCATAACCAATGGGCACAGACAGTTGGGGGGTGAGGGCATTGCTAGGGGGGTGGGAGGGACTGGGGAGAGGTCAATGGGGGGAAAAGGAGACTCATGTAATACTTTAAACAATAAAAAATTTAAATTTTAAAAAATCAAAGGCACAAATATAAAAATAGTATTCACATAAAACCACTTTATTTAATAAAATTGTGATACATAAAATTTATTCTAAATATTTATTAGTATAAAAATGGGAAAGGCCCTTATACCCATCCCCTCCAAAAAGGAGCTTTGTCTGAGGGAAAATAGAATTTATATAATAATAATCTAGGAATATAAAGGATTGCCACAAGACCACTAAGAAAATCAAATTAGCAAACTGTTAAAAAAATTTAGCAAACTGTTCTTTTTAAAATGGCTCCTTAACACGGAACAATGAAACATTGTAAACAAAAAATTAACCTAACTGCATATAAGAAATATACTTCAAATATCTATGGATCTAAAAGACTTCAACGTGAAGAAAAATATTAAACATTTTAAGGGAATAGTACTACTTTTTTAATATATATTTTTTATTGATTTCAGAGAGGAAGGAAGAGGGAGAGATAGAAACATCAGTGATGAAAGAGAATCACTGGGGACCGAGCCCACAACCTGGGCATGTGCCCATGACCGGAATCAAACCCGGGTCCCTTCAGACCACAGGCTGACGCTCTATCCACTGAGCCAAACTGGCTAGGGCTTAAGGGAAAAGCACTATTAATCTTATGTACTATTGTTGAACGACAACTCTTAGAATTATCTCACCTGAGTATTCATTGCTGAAAGCAATTAGTAGAAATCCAAGGTCCAATAATGCACTTCAAAAAGAGGTTTAATAAATACAATGTATTTACAACCTCAAGAAAAAATTCTTCATGTTGAAAGTTTTCTGGCACCTTATACGTGGATTAACTTCTATCAAGCTTTCTCATGTTACTTACATGTTTATTTCTCTCCAAGGGAATTTTCACATGTAAGGATGAGGGCCAATTCAAGTCTTTTCCATGCTGTTTACATTCCAGAGCTTTTATCCAGCGAGTCCCTTCATGTGTTTGAAAGGAACTGGGATAACTGAGGCTTTTCTCACATTCTACACTTTTATATGGTTTCTCTCCTGTGTGCATTGCCAGGTGTCTTCGAAAGCTTGTGTGATAACTGAAGGCTTTTCCATATTCCTTACATTCCTAGGGTTTCTCTCCAGTGTGAGTTCTTTCATGTCTTTGAAGATAACTGGAATATATGAATGCTTTACTACATACTTTACATCCATAGGGTTTCTTTCCTGTGTGATTTCTTTCATGTATCTGAAGATAACTGAGACATCTAAATGCTTTACTACATTTTTTACATTCATAGGGTTTCTCTCCAGTGTGATTTCTTTTATGTGTCTGAAAACTCTGATAATATCTGAAGGCTTTTCTACATTCCTTACATTCATAGGGTTTCTGTCCACTGTGAGTTATTTCATGCATTTGAAGAGAGCTAGAAATACTGAAAGCTTTCCCACTTTGTTCACGCTCACAGGGTTTCTCTCCTGTGTGCATTCTTTCACGTAATAGAAATGAATTTGAACAACTGAAGACTCTTCCACGTTCCTTACATTTATAAGAAGAGTCTGTAGTGTGTGTTATCATGTGTTTTCGAAGGGCTTTGAAGCACACGAAGACTCTCCCACATGCCTTACATTTACAGGTTTTCTCTCCATTGTGATTTCTTTCATGTTGTTCAAAGCACTGTAGATAACTAAAGGCTCTCCCACATACCTTACATTTATATGGCTTCTCTCCGTATTTCAGGTACTCATATTGTCCAGTGTGACATCTAGTAAGTCTATCAATGGATGAATGACACATAAAGGCTTTTCCACATGGACTGTGCTCATATGGTTTTACTCCAGTAGTCTTCTTCTTCTTCTTCTTTTGATTAAAATTTGAAGTAAAGTTGAAGTTTTCTTCACATTCACTATTCTCTTTACTTTCACCGAGTTTCTCTGCCATATAACTTCTATAAAAATCAAGAAGTACATATTGATTTCATATTCATTATATTTATTATGATTTATAGGAAAAGTTCAGGTATCCTTTCTTGTCTAAATTGTCTGAAATCGAATGTATTAAATGCTCTCCAAGAAAACTTCACCCATGCTATTATCAAACTGTGATATTCATATATACAGTTTACTAATACAGCTTCCAAGTGATAAAATTTGCAAACTGAACATGTATGCTACATTTAAGAAAGTAGTTTCAGTAAAACCTTTCTAAGAAAGACATTTTAAGCAAGATTTATTTAGTTTCGTTTGCTTCTTTTTAAGATTTCATAACAAATGAGAATTCTCACATGAGACACTGCTTTCTATTGTGCAACTCACCTTAGTTTTCTTCCCAGGTTTTTGAACGGATCTTCAAAGTACAGATCTTTCCATTTTCCCCCTAAAATTCAGAACCAGAAAAATTATTCCAAATCATTATAATTATAAAAAAATTATCAGCTTCTAGATCTATGATGAGCAGAGACCATGCCCAGCTTACTTACCATGCTCCCTTATACATTACACATCATGGAATTATGCTGATGAACAAGAAACACTTGTTCTCTACTTGACAATTGAAGAAACGTCCTCATCCTTACCTATGGAGGCCAGGTTCCTAAAGGTTTCCCTCATCACATCTCTGTAGAGTTTCTTCTGTGAAGGCTCCAATAGGGCCCACTCCTTCAAACTGAAGTTCACAGCCACATCCTCAAAGGCCACTGGGACCTAAAACACCCCAATATGTGTACAGAAGGATGAGTGAGACCGAGAGAATTGGACACCTAGACTCCATTTATAGGAAGGTTATGTTTGACTCATCTGCAAACATCTCATTTATGATTTGATCATCAAAAATGTATTCTGTGTCCATGCTGACTTTCTCATAAATTTAATACCATCATTAACACATGGAAATTACACCTTTTTCCTGTGGTCACTTTACATCTTATTTATCTCCACTGTTAGGGTCCTGAGCATGTAGGAAAATAACTGAAATGCTATACAGATGAAACATATATTGTCATTTTAAGACCACTGACTCTTTGTGAAAGAAATTTCTTTCATTTTCTTCCTTATTACCCACCATTTACAAGACCAGGAGGCAGAGGGCAAAATGTGTATAAAGGATTAATGAATAAAGTATAGTGAAAAATTGGAAGTCTTTCCTTCTTATCCATCACCAAACATGAGAATCCAGGAGGTCCATGAAAATCAACTTCCAACAAAGCCAGCTGGCCGTGTGTCCTACAGCCCTCCGGGCCTTTTCCCTAATCAGGGGCAGCTGGCTCGGCATAAATATGCTGTGGAGAAGCACTGTTGCGACTTGTTCAGTATTTATCAGACTCAGTGCTTCCTTCTCTCTCTGTCCAGTGTAATGAGATTGGAAAGTTATTTAAAACTTACAGCTCAGACACAAAGAAGAAGCATGACAAGTTAGACCGCAAAATCCCTATACTCATGTGCTGAGGGATGTTTCCAACCAATTTTAGAAGAGTGGGAGAATGGGCCAGGAGAGCTCTTTATGACCAAACTGTAGCAGGGTAGCCCTAGCCGGTTTGACTCAGTGGATAGAGCATTGGCCTGCAGACTGAAGGGTCCTGGGCACATTCTAGTCAAGGGCACATGCCCAGATTTTGGGTTCCATTCCCAGTAGGGGGTGTACAGGAGGCAATTGATCAATGGCTCTCATCATTGATGTTTCTCTCTCTCCCTCTCCCTTTGAAATCAATTTTTAAAAAGTATATTTTAAAAAAATGTGTGACTGAAGCCCAGCTGGCTCAGTGGTTGAGTATCGATCCATGAACTAGGTGGTCACAGTTCAATTCCCAGTCAGGGCACATGCCTGGGTTGCAGGCTCGATCCCCAGTGTGGGGCGTGCAAGAGTCAGCCGACCAATGATTCTCTCTCATCATTGATGTTTCTAATTTAGCTCTCTCTCCTTCTCCCTTATTCTCTAAAATCAACAAAAAATATTTATAAATAAATACAAGGAAAACAAAACGCTATAATTAAACTCAAGCTAGATACTTGTTGCCTGCTCTCTCTCATGCTTCTTCCTTGTTGACACATGCTAGAGAACTTTTCAAAGGGTATTAGAAACCACCTGGGGCTTTCCTCCCTGGAATGAGAAGAAATGGGAGATAATTGAAAATAGAATACCATCTCACCATGTGATTTGTGGATTTGTGGGAAATGGAAGCATTCCCAGATTCTCAGAAATATCAAGAAAGTGAAACTGAATAAAGCTATTGCACTTCTTCTTTATATATGTATATATATATATATATATATATATATATATATATATATATTTTATTGATTTTTTACAGAGAGGAAGGGAGAGAGATAGAGAGTTGGAAACATCGATGAGAGAGAAACATCGATCAGCTGCTTCCTGCACATCTCCTACTGGGGATATGCCCGCAACCCAGGTACATGCCCTTTGACCGGAATCGAACCTGGGACCTTTCAGCCCGCAGGCCGATGCTCTATCCACTGAGCCAAACCGGTTTCGGCAACTATTGCACTTCTTGAAGACAATACTGGTTGAGTATAAAATTCAACTGAAAAACAAAAACAAAGACACCTCTCACAGAGAAACCAAGATGGCGGCATAGGTAAACACCGGAAATTGCCGCCTCGCACAACCACTTCAAAAATACAACTAAAAGACAAAACGGACATCATACAGAACCACAGGAAGGCTGGCTGAGCGGAAATTCTACAACTAGAAGTAAAGAGAAAAGCACTGAGACTCAGAGGAGGTGTGGAAGTAAAGTGCAGAGGTACAGAGGTGCACGCTGGAAGGGCTGGCAACTGAGGATGTGGCGCATGTGGAAAGGGCTGGCAGCTGAGGATGCCGTTGTCTTTTTCAATTGGGAGGGAGTCTCAAGCTCCCGACTGTTCTGAACTCCAGTTCCGGGTGAGTCTCTGGGGACCCAGACTCATACGGGGAGAAACTGGACTATCTGGCATCAGGCCAAACTTGAGGGCGGCTTTCTCTCAGAGGCGCTTGCAGCGATTACCGGGACACTGAGATGCAGGGCCTCTTAGGGTAGGACTGGGGAGCAGCCATAGCTGAGGTGCTCCGCCCTGTTGATTCCCTGAGACCCCGCCTCACCCAAGCTGTGCACAGAGGCTTTTGCATATGAAAGGCCTGGCCCTTTGCATCCTGAAAATTACCTAACAAACTGCAGCTGAATCAGAGAGACCCAGAACTTCCAAAAGAAGGTCCAAGGCCCCACAGCAGCTTGCATTGCTTCACAGCTGGGCCTCATCTGGGCTCCTCCAAACCCCAAACAAAGAAGAGGAGTCTCTCCATAGCTCCTGCTGGGTAGCCTCAGGCAGAGGCTAAATTAGAACCTCCTTAGAGATCCAAGAGCCAGTGTACCCAGTGGTCAGAGTGGGACCATCCAGATTAGAACTCCTCAGATCCATAAGGGACACACTCAGGGGACAGACTCAGTGAGTACCAAAGCCTCACTGAAGCAAGTCTTGCCCCAGAAGAGTGTCTCCAACTCAGAAGTTCTCCCACTGCAGACACAGCTGATTCCCACCGCCAATTGGCCTGGAGGTCAATTCCTCCCAGTGATACCTACAACAATCAAGACTTAACTACAACAAGACTGTGTACAAAGCCCACAAAGGGGTGTACCAAGAGTGTCCACCTCAGGTAATTGGGAAGGCTGAGCCACTGGGCCCTATAGGACACCTAACACAGAAAGCCACTCTATCAACACAGGGAAGCATAAAAAATGAGGAGACAAAAAAACAAGTCACAAATGACAGAAATGGAGGAAAGCAAACTACTGGATATAGAGTTCAAAACCACACTTTTAAGGTTTTTCAAGAATTTTCTAGAAACCACTGATAAATTTAGTGAGACCCTCAAGAAATCTAGTGAGACCGCCGATAAATTTAGTGAGACCCTCAAGAAATCTAGTGAGACCCTTGAGGTTATGAAAAAGGACCAACTAGAAATTAAGCATACACTGACTGAAATAAAGGATATTATGCAGAGTTCCAACAGCAGACTAGAGGATCGCAAGAATCAAGTCAAAGATTTGAAATACAAAGAAGCAAAAATCACCCAACTGGAAAAACAAAAAGAAAAAAGAATCCAAAAATATGAAGATAGTTTAAGGAGCCTCTGGGACAACTTCAAGCGTACCAACATTCAAATTATGGGGGTGCCAGGAGAAGAGAGAGAGCAAGATATGGAAAACCTATTTGAAGAAATAATGACAGAAAACTTCCCCTACCTGGTGAAAGAAATAGACTTACAAGTCCAGGAAGCATAGAGAACCCCAAACAAAGGGAATCCAAAGAGGACCACACCAAGAGACATCATCATTAAAATGCCAAGAGCAAAAGACAAAGAGAGAATCTTAAAAACAGCAAGAGAAAAACAATCAGTTACCTACAGGGGAGTACCCATACGACTGTCAGCTGATTTCTCAACAGAAACTTTGCAGGCCAGAAGGGAGTGGCAAGAAATATTCAAAGTGATGAATAGCAAGAACCTACAACCAAGATTACTTTATCCAGCAAAGCTATCATTCAGAACTGAAGGTCAGATAAAGAGCTTCACAGATAAGAAAAAGCTAAAGGAGTTCATCACCACCAAACCAGTATTATATGAAATGCTAAAAGGTATCCTTTAAGAAGTGGAAGAAGAAAAAGGTAAAGACACAAATTATGAACAACAAATGCACATCTATCAACAAGTGAAACTAAAAATCAAGTGCATAAATAATCTGATGAACAGAATAAACCAGTGAAGATAATAGAATCAGGGGCATAGAAAGGGAGTGGACTGACTATTCCCGGGGGGAAAGGGGTGTGGGGGGTGTGGGAAGAGACTGGACAAAAACTGTACACCTATGGATGAGGACAGTGGGTGGCGGGGGTAAGGGCAGAGGGTGGGGTGGGAACCGGGTGGAGGGGAGCTATGGGGGGAAAAAAGAGGAACAACTGTAATAATCTGAACAATAAAGATTTAATTAAAAAAAAAAAAAGAAACCTCTCTTGATTCAGTTTAAGTTCTGACCCAAATGAACTCCCAATATAAACCCTTTGTCCATGAGATAGAACATCTGATCTTCACAGAATCTCACTGTGCACAAATTACACTCAGGTTACCTACACGATGGATGTAAAACTCACAAAACTCAAACACAAGATCTACAAATGTCTAGGCCTAAACAACCAAAACCTCAGAAAGGGCATCATTCCTGCCCTCCCCTTCTACCCCAAACACATGTGCGCCTGCGCCCTCCCCCCTCCCCGTGCCCCCTGCTTTCCACGGCTGTAGCTTCTCTCAATGCAAAGGCTCCTTCTGTGGTGGGTATGTGCAGGTAGGACGCCTGCAGGGGGAGGTTCTCCAGGTAAAACCACTGGGCCTTCGAGCACTTTGTAAAACAAATAAACGGAACCACATTAAAGTGGAGTTGGAGCTGCCATCCCAGAGGAACTGCCGTGCATGTCTTATGCCTCAAACCTTGGAATGTTAAAACAGGGCACAAATAACCCTTAGACGGGACCTAAAGCAACACTGTGTCCCAGAGAACTGCTTGCAAGGGTAGCAAGAAAGCAGATATTATGACTACTGGACTGATGACTGCCTAACCGAACATTTAAAACGCTGTGTTACATCACCTGCACCACTAGATGCGCCTCCTTCTATGGATGTACTTATTCCGCTTTCCTTTCTCAGAAATACCTCT